CTGAGGCAGTGACTGCTTCCAGAGCTCTTGGCCCACAGAATGAAGGGGAATCTAGTGGCTGATCAGAGGGAGATTACAGTGATCTCTTTGCTGGTGCAGGATTCTCTTGCTTGGATCTGGGTCACAGTTCTGGGTGGCAGTCCTGGGGCAAGAAGGAGTACTGGTGTGATGAAGCTTGTATTGGTGGTGGAGAATAAATCCTCCTCACAGTTCCAGGGCAGAAAAGAGTGCTTGTGGTCACTCATAGAGCACAGCACAGGCCAGGAAAGGAATAAACACCTCACCTCTTATCATACCACCTTGGAAGAACTGAAAATTTAGAAGTATCTCTGAAAACAGCTGCACAAAACCCCTGAAGCTTGGGACAGTACATTATCCACAGTAGAAGCAGACCTTTACCTTAACAAAGAGTTTAAAACTCAAGTAATTGGATGAAAACATGAGCAAACCGCACACAAAAAAAAAGTCAGACCATAGAATCTTTCTTTGGTGACAAAGAAGATCAAAACATACACCAGAAGAAGACAAAGTCAAAGCTCCTACTTCCAAAGCCTCCAAGAAAAATATGAATCAGTCCCAGGTCATGGAAGAGCTCAAAAAGGATTTTGAGAAAAAAGAGAAACAGATAAAAAACTGGGAAGAGAAATGAGAGTGACGCCAGAAAATCATGAAAATCTAGCCAATAGCTTGCTAAACGAGACCTAAAAAAATACTGAAGAAAATAACACCTTAAAAAATAGCTTAACCCAAATGGTAAAAGAGGTCCAAAAAGCCAATGAGGAGAAGAATCTCTTAGAAAGCAACATTGGTCAAACTGAAAAGGAAGTCCAAAAGCTCACTGAAGAAAATACTTCCTTAAAAATTAGAATGGAGCCCATTGGAAGTTAGTGACTTCATGAGAAATCAAGACATTGTAAAACAAAACCAAAAGAATGAAAAAGAGAAGACAATGTGAGATATCTCATTGGAAAAACAACTGACCTGGAAAATAGATCCAGGAGAGATAATTCAAAAATTATTGGAAAGCCATGATCAAAAAAAAGAGCCTAGACATCATCTTTCAAGAAATTATCAAGGAACACTGCCCTCATGTTGTAGAACCAGAGGGCAAAATAGAAATGGAAAGGATCCACCAATCACCCCCCCCGAAAGAGATTCCCAAAGGAAAACTCTTAGGAATATTGTAGCCAAATTCCAGAGTTCCCAGGTCAAGGAGAAAATATTACAAGCAGCCAGAAAGAAACAATTCAAGTATTGTGGAAACACAATCAGGATAACACAGGATTTAGCAGCTTCTGCATTGAGGGACCACAGGGCTTGGAATATGATATTCCAGAGGGCAAAGGAGATAGTATTACAGCCAAAAATCACCTACCCAGCAAAACTGAGTATAATCCTTCAGGGTAAAAAATGGATATTCAGTGAAAAAGAAGACTTTCAAACACTCTTGATGAAAAGACCAGAGCTGAATAGAAAATTCAGCTTTCAGATATAAGACTCAAGAGAAGCATAAAGAGTTAAACAAGAAAGAGGGAATCATAAGGGACTTATTATGGTTGAACTGTTTACATTCCTATATGGAAAGATGATATTTGTAACTCATGAGACCTTTGTCAGTATTAGGGTAGTTGGAGGGAAAAAAATTATATGTATAGATAGATTGATAGATAAAGGGCACAGGGTGAATTAAAGGTGAAGGGGTGATATCTGGAGAATAAAATTAAGGGGTGAGAGAGGATTATACTGGGAGAAGGAGAAAGGGAGAGATAGAATGGGGTAAATCATCTCACATAAAACAGACTTGAAAAGGCTTTTACAGTGGAAAGGAAGTGGGGGAAGGTGAGAGGGAATGAGTGAATCTTATTCTCATCAAATTTAGCTTAAGGAGGGAATAACATACACACTCAACTGGGTATGGAAAGCTATCTTACCCTATAGGAAAATAGGGGGAAAAGGGATAAGACACTGGTGGGATGATAGAAGGGAGGGCAGACTGAGGGAGGGGGTAATCAGAAGCAAACACTTCTGAGGAGAGACAAGGTCAAAAGAGAGAATAGAATAAATAGGGGAGCAGGATGGGATGAAGGGAAATATAGTTAGTTTTCCACAGCATGACTACCATGGAGGTGTTTTGCATGACTATACAAGTATAACCTGTATCGAGATGCTTGCCTTCTCAAAGAGGGTGGGTAGGGAGGAGGAAGGGAGAAAATAAGTAGTATGGGAAATGGGGCATAGAAATCTATCCTGCCCTACAGAAAAATAGAAGAGTAAGGGGATAAGAGAAGGGGGGGGGAGAGAGAAGGGAGGGCAGATTAGCAGAAAGGGTATTCAGAATGCCTGCTATCGGGGTTGGGGGAGGGACAAGATGGGAAGAAAATTTGGAACTCAAAATCTTGTGTAAGTGAATGTTGAAAACTAAAAATAAATAAATAAATGGACAAAAAAAGAAGGTATCTGCTGAAATGATTTCAGAAAAATCTGGAATGATTTACATGAAGTGATGCAAAATGAAATGAGCAGAGCCAGAACATTGTAAACAGTAACAGCAATATTGTACAATGAAGAACTATGAATGACTTAGCTATTCTCAGCAATACAATGATGCAAGACAATCCCAAAGGACTCATGATGAAAAAATGCTATTAGCCCCCGGAAAAAGAACGAATTTTGTCCGAATACAGATTGAAGCTTATTATTTTTCTCTTCCTTCCGTCCTTCCTTTCTTCTTTCCCTTCCTTTCCTTCCTTCCTTTCTTGAATTTGGAACTCAAAACTCAAAAAAAAAAAGAATGTTAAAAAATTGTTTTCACACGTAACTGGGAGAAAATAAAATATTATTTAAACTTCCCTATTTCTGTTGAGGATATCACCATCCTTCTACTTTCATAATTATTCTCAAATCTTCTCAGCCTTCCCCAATCTGTATATGTTTCAATACCTTGCTAAGTCTTCTCAATTTTACCTCCAGAATCTCTCTCTGGCTGTTCCCTTCTCACAACTCAGGTGGTACCACCGTAGGTCCTCATCACCTCTCAGCTGGACTGTTTCAGTAGCTTCCACTCTCTTTCAATTCCATCATAACTGGTAAAGTGTTAGTCCTAAAGCACAGGTCTGCTCATGTCTCTATAACATTCAGTAAACTCCCTATATCACTAGCATCAAATACCACCACTTCTGTTTGTCATTTAGAGCCACCTGTCTCCAACCTACTCTTACTTACTTACTCTTACCCTTCATACTTTTTTTGGTTTGGCCAGACTGGCCTTCTGGGTATTTAAAAATAAGCCATTTGTTGAGGCTTAGGAACTTATGTTGAAATGGATTGGATGTGTATGTCACTCCTAAGCTTCTAGATTCATTTCATTAAATTTGGCAATACTTGTGGGAGGTTGACTTCTGTACCATGTTAACACTTATCTTTCTATTTTGACTGCAGTTTACTAAAACGTTTATTAGGCTTCCTTTCCCTTGACCTGTCTGCCACCATCCTCTTATATCCTCTTTCATGTTTGTGATTGTCTAGGTGTTTGATTCTCTATTGGTTTTTCTTTTTATTAATTGTATCCCTCATGCTTACCACAGTGCCTAGCGCATAGTAGGTGTTTAATAAATATTCATTGGATTGGTAGTCTGAAACTCATAATAGTTTGCTTCCTAGATCTAGGAATGGCTCCATAATATTCATTCATTTATCATCACCAGGATATAGAACATTATGCCAGGTACTGGGGGAGATATATGTCTAGAACTAATAAGTCCCTGACTTCAAGGCACTTATAGTCTAGTAGCAGGAGAAAACAACCACACAGAAGTAATCCAAGTTGGCTGAAGTATAGACTGAATAGCAACAAGTAGTCTGAGAAAATACAGGATGGTGCAAAGTTTTGGAAGGCCTTGGATACTAGGAATGAGACTATACTTGGTAGAGAAAATTCATGAAGATGATGCCATAGTGAGTTAATTTGCTAGCAGGTGATCTCTTGAAAATGTTCCTATTCATTGTTATGAATTTTTTTTTTTTACCACTGGAGCTCAATGTTCAGTTGATATCATGAGTATCTGCCTGGAAAGTGTTAAGATGACAGCATCCCTGCCTGTATTCCTATTTTCCTATGACCGACTTCTCCTCAGCAACGTCCAAAGGCAGAATGGTAATCTTTATTTCAGAAGGAGCTTCTAGGCCAATGAAATGTTGGCTTACAGATTGTTCCATGACCAAATTTTGTTTAACAGGGTAAAGATTTACCCTAAGAGAGAAAGTTTTTACCTGAAAGTAAGCCTTGCTCCAAGATTCAGGAACCCAGGGTTGGTGGGAAATGAGGGGGGTGTGGAAAAATAGGTTTTAGGATCCCTTATTGATTTAATTTTTGTTCATGGCCTATAGCTATCCATGAACTTTGATCTTTGGGATTCCTTTATCTTCATGAACATAAATAATTTTGAGTTGGCTGTATGTTTGCTTTCAACAATTCACAGACTTTCATCTATAATATTGGGACCTCACTTCATAGATGTAGAAACTGAGACATTTGGGAGCTCTTTAAGCATCTAGTTGATGTCATGGATAGAGTATAGGACTTGGGGTCAGGAAGACCTAAACTCAAATCTTACCTTGGACACTGAGTGACCCTGAACAAATCACTTAGCCACTCTATCCATACCTCAGTTTTCTCGCCTGAAAATGGGGATAATAATAGCATTTGTCACACAGGGTTGTTGTGAGAATCAAATGAGTTAACTATCTATTACTATTATAATATTAGTGTATAATACAATATAATATAATTCATTATAATATACTATTACCTTCATTATTTATAATAGGGTCACAATTGTGAGCCAGAGTCAATGATTTTTTTCTCCTGAGAGCCTCTCTAGGGCTGGAGTTTATGAACAATATTTTTCCCCTGTGGGAAGATTCAGATTAAAAATTTTGGAAAGGTGGGAGTTTTGATCTGAAGCAGTCAAAGACAGTTTTTGCCTGTTTCTCCAATGCAGGTGGGTCCGAGACAACGTCTACTCTCCAAGATTGTGGAAGAGGTTCAGGAGATCATCTATAGGTTGACCAAAGAAATCAGCTACAGAGACATTAGATTCCAACCCGTTTCTAAATCATGCTATCACAACGAAAACATAAAGGTAAGAAATGGTGGCTCTTTTTAGATTTAATATCTATTCCAGAAACTCTATAATTTAAATAGTTTTGCTTGGCCCCAGAGAGGAGAACAAGCACAAACAGGCAAAAATTTCAGTGAAATAGACTTCAGCTCAACATAAGGGAAAAAAAAAACATTCTAAGAATCACAGCTGTCTAATAAGAGAAGGTGCTGCTGTAATTGGGAAATAGTTAGTAAAATAAATAAAAATACAAAGCAACATAGATTATGTTAATTTGTGGTTATCTCAATCAGTATATGGCCTACAAGGATCTATTTCTATTTGAGTTAGACACAACTGGACTAGAGGATCTTGGAGATTCCTTTCAAATCTAGTGGCTTTCTACTCCACTCCCCAGGATCAAATATAAAGTCCTCTGTTTGGTGATCAAAGCCCTTCCTAACCTGATCCCCATCCCCCACCTTTCTAGTCTTCTTATACCTTGTGCCAGTCATATACTCTTTGATCCAGTGGCTCTGGCCTTCCTGCTATCCTCTGAACATGAGACTCCAACTCTCAACTACAGATATTTCCACTTGACTATTCCTCATGCTTGGAATGCCCTCTCTATTGACCTCTGTCACCTAGCTTCCCTGGCTTCCAATAAGTCCCAGCTAAAATCCCATCTTTGACAGGAAGCCTTTTCCAATCCTTCTCAATTCCAGCATTTTCTATCTTTCTCATGATTATTTCTAGTCTATCTGAAGCCAGACTTAATGTACTTGACTCTCAAGGGGAGAACTTGGAACAATGAGTACAAGTTGACTAAGAGTCAAATTTTGGCTTTCTGTAAGGAAAAATCTAACAATCAGAACTTTCCAGTAAGGGAATGAATAATATCAAGAAGTAATGGATTCCCCCTTCATAGAGGTCTTCATGGGAAAGTTGAATAACTACTCACTGGGGATAAAGGAGAGGTATTGGTTGCACTCACTGGCCTTTGAGATTTAGGTATTCATAAAAAAAAGTGGGACCTCTGTGTGGCCTTGAAGGAAGGTAAGGGTTTCGATAGGCAGATTTCAATATGCTTGTATTTATTGAATTCAGCGACTTCCTATTGCCTCTAGAATTAAATGTAAACTCCTCTATTTGGCATGTAAGCCCCTTTACAATCTGGTCCCAACCTCCCTTTCTAGCCTTATTACACATTATTGCCCCTTCACATACTCTGGAATCCAGTAATACCATCCTCTTTGCTACTAATTGCACGAGATATTTCATCATTGTCTATCCCCCATGTCTGGAATGCACTCCCTCCTCATTATCTGTTTAGAATCTCTAGTGTTCTTCAAGGCTCAGCTCAAGTAGCATCTTCTAAAATGGGGCTTGCTTTGATTCCCCTCACTAGTGAAATCCTCTTCCCTCAAATTTCTTTGTATCTGCTTTATATGTACCTATATGTGTACATGTCATCTCTCCAGCTGGGGTGTAAGCTCCCCACTGGCAATGATGGTTTGGTTTTGGGTTTTGTATTCCCAGTGCCTGCCACATAGGTAGGAACATAATGACTACTGATTAATTGATTTTGACTATTTTAGCAGTTTGGGTTGTAATGGGCCACTAAACCTGTCTTCCTTAACTTCTCTATCCTGGCTTTATTAAAGTCAAGTATTGAGTACCCACTATGCGCTTGTGGGAGATATACTTGTAAGACACAGACCTTTCCTGACCTCTTGGAGCTTATAGTCTAGTTGAAGAAGTAAGACATATGCATGTGAATGAAAGCCAAATAGCAAAACAAAATGGTATCTGAATAAGCACCACCATATGTTGTGTGAATCCAGAGAAAATAAAAATACTGGAAGTTAGGGCAGTCAGCAAAGACTCTATATGGAACATAGAGCTTGACCTGGCCCTTAAGAGATAGTCAGGATTTGGACAATCAGAAAGGAGGCTTGTCTGTGCTAGTTGGACAATAATAAAAAAAATATAATAATATTATAATGTAATATATAAACATAAATCCATTATAAATATAATATATAATTATTATATACCATCTAATTATATTATATATAATATAATAATAATAATTTACTTTTTATGGGGAAATGCAATTGCAAGCCATTTTATTTGCATTATCTCACTTACTCCACCAACCCTGAAGCAGGTTCTATTGAGTATTATTATACCAATTTATAGATCAGGGAGCTGAAGTCTAGAGAAAGGAAATGACTTAAGTCACACAGGTAGTAATGTGCAGAACCACTGGATTTAACTGAAAACCCAACTTCCAGCCTTGAGAAATTTATGCAAACCAAGGGTCAAGGAATAGGATGTATGTATTATTCTGTCACTGCAGTGTAAGACAGTGGGTAAAATTTTATTGAGTCTTATTAAAATGGTCTTATTGTTCTAAGCCATCTGCCTCACCTAGATGGAATACCAGAGGATCATAGGTTTAGAATTGAAAGCATCCTGAGAAGTCATCTAATTCCCCCCATTTTGCAGATGAGGAAATTGTCCCAGTGAGGAAAAAGGACTTACAAGTAAGTGGCAATGGTAGAATTTGAAACCAGCTCTTCTAATCTCAAGTCCAGTGTTCTTTCTATACTATACATTGGAATATTTTATAAGAACAGAATTTAAAGAAAAAAAAGCTGAAAGAAATCATAGGACTGAAAGTTGAAAAAAAAGATGTTAGAGACCATTTAGTCCAAAATCCAGAAAAGAACCCTGTCCTCAAGGATCACAATTTTTGGAGGGTTAGGCCATGAACAAATGGACAGATGAAAAAGCATTTAGGAAGCACTCACTCTTGCCAGAGTACTGTGGATACAAGTTTAGAAAGCAAGCAAGCTAGGCACTCTCATGTTATTTGGAGGAAAGAACTCATATTAGAAAGTGTAGCAGCAGAGTGGATGGAAAAACCCAGGAGTCCTAAGGGTAGAGTGTGAGCAAGCACCTTTTTTCCTGATTCCGTTTATTTCTGTTTTCATTTCTGCCAGATAACCCTCGAGGGGAGTCTTCTTCTGTTCTGTTCTGTTCTGTGTGGTTTTGCCAAGTGGAATTCAGTAGAGAGTCTCACCTCTGCAGAGCCCTTTGCATGAGGTCAGGCCTGGGCCCTCATCAGGGATGGAGCTCTGCAGGCGGAGAGGCTACTTCATCAAAACCATGTGTGTGTGTGTGTGGTCAGGGACTGGGCCTCTACGGGGTGATGTTTCCTAGGGCTGGGAATAGCAGCAGTTTCAGAGTTTGATCATTAAGAAAAGAACACAAGACGCTTGAAGAGTATAGTATGAAATGAGAAATTATCAACTCTTCCAAATTAATATGCAAATCTCTAAATCTTCTGAAGGTAGTTAAGCCCAAGGCAAAAGGCAAAAACTCAAACACAGAGAGGGAAGTGGGTGTACTCTAATGGTCTACCCACTGAGTTTGTAGTCACTCTGGTATCACGTTTCACTGTTTTCAGCTCTCTGGCTTGGCCAGATCATGAAAAATGATTTCGTGATGATAAGGGCCATACTTGTCACGAAGAGGGGCCCATCTTTAGAAGCATATACTTGGGGAAAAATCTATAAAAATTTCTGCTGGAAGAAGAAAAGTCCTTCAAAGACCTTCTTGAAAATCAGTGTACTTGGGTTAAGGACCTGGGGGTACAGCAGACTTGTAAACTCAACTTCCCTTCTCTGAATCTCAATACAGTTGTATTTTTTCGTGGGCCTGCCCCCATCTCAAGGATACAACACTATCTTCTTGGAGGCATACACCTTGCCCGTGATGTCTCATTTTCTCCCTTGTTGAACTTCCCATCATGGCAGGGGCTAGACATTTGTCTAGATCAGTGATCCACAAAATTTCCTTTTGTGAGACTTTCCCATTTGGAATTAACTCTTCATTAGCATCCACAATTCCAAAAAAAGGGCTTTTTTTGCATTTAGGTAGGTTATACCACAAATATGAGAGGCACTGTGACATGGTAGACAGAGAGCAAGCATCAGAGCCAGGCAGACCTAGGTTCAGCCGTGGACAAGTTGCTTAACCTCTCAGAGTACCCTAGGAAACTCCAAGACCATAAATTGCAGAGAAAGCACTGACCTACACTGGTAGAGAGAGTTTCCTTACCTAAGAATTCCTCATATGAGTATAATAACTGGCTTAGACCCTTTCCTAGCCCCCTGCTGCAAAAAATGATTTTGAAATTAATGGTAATAGGCTATACAAAATTATCTTATTTCATCTGAGATTTCCATCAGTTCAAGTATCTCTCGAATATCTGTGCTCTGTCTAGCATTGCAATATGTAGAGAGACAGGCGCTCTTGATTTCCCATTCAAAGCTAAATGAGATAATATTGTGATTGTGACTTCCCTGTTTTAGTTTTTTAACAATTGGGTCATCTTGCTCTGGAGTACACATTTGCATTTGGCTTCACTCTATCCTAACATTAGCTCATTGTTCTTTAAGAGAGGTCTGGTCTGCTGCTATGAAATTAGTCATTTTCTAAACAAGCACCTCATTTGAAGAAAAAGGGTGGAGAGTTTAGTACTGGAGGAAAGAGTAACCAAATCCTACACACAGGGATTTGCTCTTCACACCAAGGGTAGATCCTTCAGGGCCCAATTGGATGACAACAGCACAGGCTGAATTGTGCTGAGGGCTTCAGGGTGATGTGATCCAAGTTCATGTTCCCTTTGGTCATGCCTTATTCTGTCCATCAACTTATACTTTTACTTAGACTATCAGTCTACCATTTTGGCTGCTCAAAATGCTTTTCATGGGAGATTATGAATACTTCTGGTTGGTAGATTTTTTTTTCTCATTAAATTCAGAATAATCTCACAAATACAAAACACATTATCTCAAGGACTAGCTTTCCATTTCCCCTCTGTTCCTCTAAGGGTCAAGCACCTGTATGGATCCTGGGATCAATGCTAGCTTAGGAAAAAGAGCTAGGGGGCAGCTAGGTGGCACAGTGGATAGAGTGACTGCTCTGGAGACAAGAGGACCTGAGTTCAAATGTGGCCTCAAACACTTACTAGCTACATGACCCTCAGCAAGTCGTTTAACCCTGATTACCTCAAAACAGAAAACAGAAAAAAGAAAAAAGAAAAGAAAAAGAAAAAAAGAGAGCTGATCTGATTATCACTGTAGATAAAAAGAAGATTGAAATTCTGATAACTTTTTTCTGTGATTATTCCATCCCTACTCTTTTTCAAACACTACATCCTACATATGTTTAGACTGTGTATTCACATCTAAGTATAGTTTCTTTCTGTTCTCACAACAAAAGATTTATTACTTATATGGTAATGGAAGGTCCTATTCTGGTTCACTCTGTCACTTACCAGAACCATAAAGAGCTGCCTTGGGAGAAGATAATGGATTCTTCCTCACTGGAGGTCTTCAATCAGGCACTCAATGTTGACTTGTTGGGTGTATTATAATGGGGATTCCTTTTGGAGCATACGTTGGGCTCTTTTCTTGGAGGCACACACCTTGGTTGTGACATCTCATTTTCTCTCATACCGGACTTCCCATCATGGGAGGGGGGTCCCAAGGGCAGAGTCCAAGCTTAGGTGAGAGAAGGATGAGGAGGATGGCCAAAGTGCGAGTAGTAGGACTTGGTATGATGGGCTCCCTTAAATTCTCACACTGCTTTCTGGATTTTACCTGTCTGGACCCCATCGCCCAATGGCCCAGGATATAAGCAAAGAAAAAGGGCATTTTTTTTTTTGCTGAATATTTAAGTAGCTTCCTTTTTTGTCAATTATATGCAATGTTGATATGAAAAACTTTGAGCAGGTAGCTTTTTGATTGTTTTCTATAACATTGTGGACAACTATGATCAATGCAGAGAAATATGCAAAGAAATTTATGAAATAATGGGGGGGAAAGGTAGAAACAGAAGAGGAGAATATACTAATTTCAATCACATGAGGAAAAATGAAGGAGAATGAATGAGCATAGAATCCATTCAGATTTAGAGGGAGAGACTAAAGAAGAGTTAAGATACTGTTTTTTCTGGATGGAGCTCCTCATGGGGACACTTCCCTCTCAATGTGGAGAGGCAACTATTGTACCAATTGAAGAATAATAGGAACACAGGTTTAAAACCTAGAAGGGGTCTTAGAAGTCATGGAGTCCAATCGCCTTTTTAAAGTAAGTTTTTATTGATATCTTGTGTTTTTTACATTACCAAGGCCATCCCAAGTATCCCTCCCCCTTCTCTTCCTAGAGAACCATCCCATTTAACAAACTGTAGTTTTTAGAGGGGGAAAAAAAGTCAGCACCACTGATCAATACAGTGAAGAAGTCCAAAAATGTGTGCAATTTGTAATACCTGTGGACCTCCCACCTCCACAAAGCAGGAGATTGGAATGGATGAGGGTGTTTCCTCATATCTGTTCATTCAAGTCCTGCTTGATCTTGATAACTTTATTCTGCTCACTTTTGATTTTTTTTTGATGTGTCATTCTTTCCATTGACATCATTGTAGTTACTGTGTCTATTGTTTTCTTGGTTCTGCTTACTTCACTCTACATCAGTTCATATAGATCCTTCTGTACTTCTCCATATTAATCACATACATCATTCCTTTCCACACAGTAATATTCCATTCATGTACCACAATTAGTTTATCCATTCCCCAATTGATGGGCATCTACTTTGTTTCAAATTCTTTATTACCACAAAAAATTCTACAATAAATATTTTGGTCTATGGAAACTTTCTTCTTATCAATGGCTTCCTTAGGCCAATCCCTTCTTTTTACAGATTAAAAAACTGAAGCACAGTGGTGTGCCCAAATTAGATAGCTACTAAGTATTTGAGGTGGTATTTAAACTGAGGTCTTCCTGACTCCCAAGTCTAGTGTCCTATATCACTACCTTTTTAAAATTTCCTCTTTAAAACTTATAGAAATAAAGGGCAGCTAGGTGGCACAAAGGATAGAGCACTGGCTCTGGAGTCAGTAGGACCTGAGTTCAAATCTGGCCTCAGACACTTGGCACTTACTAGCTATGTGACCCTGGGCAGGTCACTTGACCCCAGTTACCACAGGAAAAAAAAAAGACTTATAGAAATGCTTGGGGCACTAAAAATTTAAATGACTTTCCTTTAGTCAAACAGCCAGAATGTATAAATGCACATAAGACCTTGAACCCAGGTCTTTCTGACTCCTAATCTGTCTATCTACTATATCATATTTCCTCTTTTAGGAAATATTATGCATTGGAATTAATTAATGTTAAACTAATTGGGTTATATTGTTTGTATTGAGGTTCAATGTTATATTTCTTTTAAAACATTTAGTGAAAATGTGTACCCTATGGCTATCATGGTAAAAACCTTTAATTCAGTCAAACTGTGTTCCAAGACAATCATGAAACCACGGGAGAAAAGTAAGGGATGAGAGAGGAAGACATCATCCATTCTCATCGTTAGCCACTCTTTTCTCAAAACTCTCAGGCCATTCTTCCTAATACATACCAACTCAAATCAACATTTATTAAGCAGAGCATTGGGCTAGGTCCTGAGAACAGTGCAAAGACAAATGACCCAACCCTGCCTTCAAGACCCTTATAGTCTAAGCAACCGTAATTCAAAATAATGCATGAAATGCATTGGAGAAGTACAAACACACTGCTATGGGAGACCAGAGAGAGAAATCATGAATTGGCATTGGAAGGCACAGAACCAATTTTCTTCTAAACTTCACTGGTTTAACCAAGATATTATTTGCCTCCTTGCTGTTTGTTTACTAGGACAGTTCTTTTCCATCCCAGGCCAGTGAATTTAGTTCAACTAAATTCAACAAATGTTTATTAAGCATCTGCTCTTTGCTCAGCGTTCTGGTAGGCACTAGAGTTACAAACAATAATGAAACTGTCCCTACCTTCAAGGAGCTTACAATCTATTATGGGGATAGCACATACACTATACCTGACAAAGTACATCAAGCAGCTAAGTGGCACAGTGGACAGTGGAGTCAGAAACACTTACATTCATATACTGCCTCAGACACTTCCTGACAATGTAACCCTTGGCAAGTCAATCCATCTAATTTGGTTTCTACATCTGTAAAGTGGGGATGATAATATACTTCCCCCCCTCCCACAGGGCTTAGGAGGATACAATAAGATCATATTTGTAAAGCAGTTTGCAAACCTGAAAGCACTATGTAAATGCTAGCTATTAATATTACAAAAACACCAAGTTTATAATTAAATTCCCTTTTTCTTGTTGTGTCTCCTCTTTTTCTCTCCGGCTTTGTCTAGGTTTTGGCACCCACCCAGTTTGTCATCACAGTCCCAATAAAAGGACTACTTGGCTATAGAAAGAGCCAGACCCGAAGATGGAGGTATTATTCCATGAGTGGCTCTAAGCTCTTCTCTCCTATTCGGGATCCTGAAGAAATGTACCAGTGGCTGGAGATAAATCAGTTTTTGAAGACTCTGCGGCAGTGGCATGAAAAGGATGTGACAGTGGATGGAGACATCATGCCAGCTAAGGTCATTGAAGTGTTTCTGAAGCTGGTGGAAGACTCAGTTAAGGCCTGCAACCTCTCTAGTGAGTCTAGAAGCTTACAGAAGAAATTCATTTAATTTGATCTTAGAATTAGAGATTTTTGAGCTTCAGATAACCTTAGAGGTCATCTAGTGTAATCCATCCTTTTTTATTGATGAGAAAACTGAGGCTAAGAGAGGTTTAATTAGCAAAAGGGGAATCAATGGAGTATAGTGGGCAGACAGCCAGACTGTGAATCAGGAAGACCAGGTTTAGATCTCTCCTTAGACACTTATGACCCTGGGTAAGTCACTTAACTCCTCTCAGTCCCAGTTTCCCTATCTATAGAATGGGAAAAATAATAGCAAGAATCTCACAGGGTTGTTGTGAAGTTCAAATAAGATAATAAATGTGAAGTGCTTTGTAAACAAAAATGTGCAAAAAAAAGTTATCTATTAGTTAGGGTCCAAGTTCAAACAAGCAGTAACAGAGCCATGACTGGAATCTAGCTCCTCTCTGCCTCTTGTTCTAGTGCTCTTTTTACTAAGATCTCTCGCTTATAAAAGGTTCACTTTATTAGTTACAGAAAGCCATAGTGTTTCATTCCTTAAATGTAATCATCTGTGAAATTGTTCAACTTTCCCCCTAAACAGGATGTAGTCTATGCAGCACTGTTTAGAAACATGGTATGTTAGAGTTAAAAAAGAATGAAGGAAGGAAGGAAGGAATGAAGGAAGGAATGAAAAATAAATATGTGAAATGTATAAATAAATGCTTAATAAATATTAAGCATTTCCTTTGTGCCAATCACTGTGCTGATTGTGTTAAAAATACAAATAAAAAAAAGACAGTCCCCACACTTAGGGAACTTGCATTTTAATCAGGTAGAGAAATAGTATCTAGAGAAGGGAATTTTAATCTGGGGAGACACAGAGATGGAGAGTTGATCCAAAGGGTAATCAGTTGACCAGTCCTCTCTTGGAATCAATGGTCCTCTGAAATGATTGTAGTGCCCAAAGCAAGAGATAGGAAGTGAGTAGACATGGGGTATTCGAGAGTGGAGGCATATGGCAGGATGGTCTAGGTCAGGGGCCGGGAACCTGCAGCCTTGATGCTTCACGGTGGGCCACACTTGAGGACCTAGAGGGTCACATGTGGCTTCAAGGCCGCAGGTTCCCGACCCCTGGTCTAGGTAGACATAGCTGGTTGAGATATGAAGATGAAATGTGGGTTTGGTCCAACTAGATATAAAGAGCTAAATGGGATTTTTTCCCCATTTAGTCACTGAAACGCAGGGTAGGAGTTTCAGAGATTCCACAGATGAATGGATGAGTTAGTGCATTAAACTTATTTTGAAGATGAGGAAACAAAGGCCCAGATAAATTGCAGTTTTCAATAGAATCACACACTCTCCTGACTCTAAATCTGATGCCCTTCCATTACTTTGCACTTTTTGTGTCATGGATGATAAGAAACTCAGAAGCTTAATCCGTACCTATATCTATCTATTTATTTATAGTGTGTGTGTATTTGTGATGTGTATATAATAAAATAGCAAATCTCTGCCTAGGCTTTTAAAAGGAATCAAAACTTTTAGGTGGTATCTAGTACTTCACATGAAGTGAATTGGGCAATAAGGATAAAGAATATCTTTTTTACCGCCTGGATTGATACAAGAATGTTTCCTCTTTACACGATCCCTATTACGCCATAGATGTTTCCATTGTCTTTTCGAGGTCTTGATCTCTTATCTTACTTATAGAAAGATAAGGACTAATCTATTAAATCTTTCAGAGATTGGTAAGTGAATAGATTGGACTAGGGAGCCACATTTTGAAAAGAGCTGTAGCAAGTTGGAATGGTTTAGGAGACTCAAAACCATGTCCTGTGAGGAACTAGTGAAGGAGCTAAGGATGTTTAGTCTGGAGAATTGATGACCTGGGCTTGGGGGTAATGAAAGAGAAATGGGACAACAGTTTTCAAATATCTGAAGCACTTTAATGGGTAAGACAGATTAGGTATGTTTTTCAGGACTTCAGAATACAGAACTAGGACCAATGGGTAGAAGTTATGAGGAGGTAGATTTAGGTTTGTTATAAGGAAGGACTCCCTAATAATTAGAGCTATTAAAAACTGTAATGAAATGCCTTCATAATATAGTAAGTCACCCATCACCAGAAGTATTAAAGTAGAGGTGGATCTCCGAGTTCCCTTCCAAATCTAAGGTGCTATGACCAGGATTCTAACATGAAGAGGCAAGTCACTAGTACTTTGACTTTTTCATTTATGAAAACTCAATCCTCAACAATTATTTGCTTCATTATAGAAAACTGAATTAAACTCAGAGAACCTCAAACGTTCAGAGATTCCAACAGAAATGTTGCTTTTCAGTTGTGTCCATCTCTTTGTAACACCATTTTTTTCCCTTTTTGCAAAGATACTAGAGTGGTTTGCCATTTCCTTCTCCAGATCATTTTACAGATGAGGAAACTGAGGCAGAGTTAAGTGACTTGTCCGGGGACACATGGCTAGTAAGGGTCTGAGGCCAGACTTCAAACCCATCACTCTATTCACTATGCTGCCTAGATGACCTCCCACAGAAATCTCAGACCTTCAAATGGAGGCCTCATGAATATTCTATTTTCACACTTCCTCCAAGTCATCCTTCCAACCCAGGAGTTTACCACTGTTTAGCAAAGAACAAAAGTCTTATTATCTGTACTAGAGCTTGACTTAAAGCTGTTTAGATGGAACTCAACAAGTGGAGAAGAACTTGTCTTGAGTTCTGCGATCATAGAATTCATAGACTAAGCCTTTAAAGGGGAATTGATTAATTAGCTTGGCAAAAAGGGCACAGGATTTGTAGTAGAATTTTAAAATGTGAGAAGTGAGATTAGCTATTATTGTTTTGAACACTTCTTAGAAAACATTCTACAGATAATAGCATGTAAAAAAAAATGCTTGGTGGGTCAAGTGTTCAGGATAGCTAAGTCTCCTTCCCCTTAGTGTGAATATCCCTGAGTGCTCTATCCTGGAGCCTATCCTCTTCCCTCTCTCCATTCCTTTCTTTAATGTTACTGGATTTAATAATCCTCAGTGCAGATGCCTCCCAAGTTTCTATGTCTAGCTCTCTCTATTGACCTACAATCTTGAACTATGAACTTCCCGATAAACATCTCAAACTCAGTATGTCCAAAAGAACTCATCATATTCCCTACCCAACCCCCTAAATCCACAACCGTGTACTATGAGGAACTGTTGAAGGAGCTAAGGACGTTTGGTCCGGAGAAGAGACGACCTGGCTTTTCTATTAAGAACACCACAGTTCTTTTAGTTACCCAGGTTTGTAATGTAGGAGTCATCCTTGACTCTTTCCTCTCCCTTACAATATCCAATGAATTACCCAATCATGTCATGTGTATTCTACTTCCATAACATCTCTTGGGGCTGTCCCCTTTTCTCCACTCACATTCCACCATAATAGTTATCTAAACTATAATAATCTCCTCAATGGTCTGCCCTCTTCCAGTTTCTCTCCTTTCCAATCCATTCTCCATAAAGTTGCCAAAGTATCTTCCCAAAGCGTAAGTCTTTCATGTCAGTGCCTTGCTCAAGAAACTTCACTTACCATTACTTCTAAGATATAATACAAACTCTTCAACATATTGTTTGAGACCTACTCCAATCTGGTTCCTACCCAGCTTCTCAGCTTTACTTCATACTACTACCATTCATCAACTCTCTCTGCTACAGCCAAACTGGGCTATTAGCTCTTTCCCCATTTTAATGACCCGTCTTCCACCCCCCTTGTATTTACACAGGTGGTTCCCTCCTTCTGTAAGGAGCTCCCTGGTGCAATGGGAAAAGCACTAGTTTGGGATTCAGAGAACTCTGGGTTCAAATCCTACCTCTGATACTTCCTAGTTCTGTAACTTTGAGTAAGCCACATAACCTTCCTGGGCCTCAGCTTCCCCATCTGTACAATGAAGCCAATGAGCAAAATAAATTGAAGTTACAAATTCATAGCTATAACCTTCCAAATTACCAGGTGTGTGTGTGTGTAAAATCAGGTAGTCTTTGATGTCTATTCTAGCTTTAGAACTATGGTCCTATGTTCCCTCCTTACTTCTTCCTTTCAAAATTTTTCTTTTCGTTCTAAAGTTCATTCTCAGTTGACACCTTTTAACAAGGGGCCAACTCCTTTGTGGAGCCTTCCCTGATCCCACTGGGTGCTAGCGCTCACTTCCTCAAATTACTTCGCATTATACTTCAGCTGTTTACAGAGTGCACACTCCCCTGTCCCAGCAGAAAGGTAAGCTCCTTGAGTTCTAGAACTGGTGCCTTTTGACTTTGTATATCCAGTGTCAACAACGCCTGCATCTAGAAAGCATTTAATCAGTGTTTGCTTTTGAATTGAACTGGTTTGAGGCTTGGCAGGGAGATGAAACAAAGCCAGAAGATCGTGATTAAATGAAAGTCAATTTGAGACCTTTGATTTGAAAGAGAGATGATCAAGGTTATAAGGTTCCAAAATCAGAACTACTTCCCCCAACCTCCACCCCTTAAAAATTCATAGCAATCCCCAACTCTTTGTTAAATGGCCAAATGCTGGTATGTCCAGCTGAGTGATCCCAAGTCACACTGCAATAAAGACCACGTGGCAAAAAAGAGTGATCCTCCTGTCTTAAGGACAAGATGAGGTTCATCCAGGGCTTCCCAGAGAATTGCCTCAATTACTGATGGAGCCAGTCAGCCAGCCTTTCTCATATACTCAAGTATGATCATATTATATGAATGTTATGTTAATATTTGTCAGATTTGTCATTTTTGCAGTGATAGACACTGATTCAAGAAAATGTCATCTTTATGTGAAGAAAAAAGTGTGCATGTATCTTTAAAAACAGAAGAGAACAAAGGAGGATTTAGGAGTTTGGGGTCAGCTTACTTATCAGAATCATTTATTGTGTTACAGTGAAAATCCATTAACCCACAAACATTTATTAAGCACTCGTCATTCCATTCAGCAGTCAAATTGCTTTTCCTAAAGCAAAAGTCAGACAGCCTCTCCACCCCACCTCAATCCCATTCATTCAACTCCAGAGAATCCCTATTACCTCCAAGATCAAATGTTAAATCCTCGTTGGTTTCTTTAGTCCTTCACAACCTGACCCCTTTCTACCTTGCTTCTCATGTCTTACTCTTCCCCCTGCCCTGAGCCCTACAATCCAGTGACACTGGCTTCCTTGTTTCTCTCACGAGACAGTGGATCTCCTGCCTCCATGAATTGTTACTGGCTGTCCCCTCTGCCTGGAATGCTCTCACTCCTCGTCTACTCGTCCTGGCTTCACTGGCTTCCTTCAAGTTTCAGTTAAAAATCTCAACATCTTCAAGAAGACTTTCCTGATCCCCTTTAACACGAGTTCCTTCCCTCTGTTAATTATCTCCAATTTATCTTCTCTATTGCTTGTTTGTATATAGGTAGGGGTTGGACTCAGAAACACCTGAGCTCAAATCTGGCCTCCGACACCTACTGGCTATGTGATCCTAAGCAAGTCACTTAACCTCTGTCTGCCTCAATTTCCTCACCTGTAAAATGGTGACAATAATAGCACCTACCTTGCAGGGTTGATATGAGGATTAAATGAAGTAATAATTGTCAAGCAATTAGCACATTGCTTAGCACATATTAAATGTTATACAATGAACTATATGAATATTATTATTATCATGGAAGAAGTAATACCTGAAGGAAAAGAACTTTAATATGCTCTCTTTAAAAAAAAGGTAATTGTAAGAATCATTTTATTTTTTAATTGCTTTCTAACAGTGCTGTGATTTAAGAAGAAATGAGCTAATTCTATAAACTTCCTTGATTCATATTGTCAAATTTTTTTCTACCAAATCAATATCTTTTACTGAAACGAAAAGAAAGGCTTCATGTGTGAGGTGATGCCTGAGTTGAGCCTTGAAGGAAACTAGAGATTCCGAAAGGCAGAAGTGAGGAAGGAATATTCCAGAAATAGCCTGTGCAAAGATGGCAGATGGAGAGTTGGAGGGGCTGGAAAGATTTGGAGGCAGATGACTTTGATTTGGAAATCAGCTCTATCATTTAATGTGACCTTGGACAAGCTCCGTTCTTAGTCTGCTCTTACATAAAATTACGGGATTGAACTATATGTCTTTTGAGTCACTTCTCCATCTCAATTTAATCATGACTGTTCTGCCTCTTTCCTTACCTGGAAAATGAGGCAGTAACATCTCTAGTCGTTCTTTCTTTCCTTCCACCATGCCCCTTATATATTTCACATTGCTATAATCAGGATAAATAAGGAAGTGGCTGTCAATGTGATAGAGATACTACATAGATACTGGATGTTGTAAAAATTATTTTATAAAATCCTAGTATGGCCTGAGATACGGGGACTAAATCCTAGCAGTCAGGAAGGGGAAAGGACTAGAGAATTAGCTCCACTCTGAATGGCATTTGGTCCTCCCAATGCCTTATGACCTCTCTGAGAAGGAGGGGAAGGATGCTATGAGTCCTCCATCCTCCTTTCTGAACCATCCCCTTCTCCAAAGAAGGAGAAATTTCTATTGCTAAGGCAAGAAAGCACTGTTCTATCTCACCTTGTTACTGCTGTCTCCACTGGCCTCAGGGCCTTGGGTGGCCATGAGGAAGCATGGTATCAATGAGGCTGGCAGTGGTAGACTCTCAAGTTGTTACTTAATCTCTAGCTAGCATGCTTTTTAATTCTTTACGATTTGCAAAATATATAACTTATTTAAGGTTTAAAGTTTGCAGAATACTTTACGTAAGTTATTTCATTTAATCCTCACTACAACCCTTGGAGGTAGATGCTATTATCCCCATTTTACAGATGAGGAAACTGAGGTACAGTGGGATTAAATGATTTGTCCAGGGTCAAACAACTCATAAATGTCTGAGGTGAGATTCAAACCTGAGTATTCCAGACTCTAAGTCCAGTATTCTATACATTGCACCATCTAGAATATGTTTAGCCACAAAGACAAGAGCAAGGAATGAGTGAAATTTATAGGGAGACAGATTTCAAGCTCAATGTAAGGGAAAATTCTTAATCACGAGAGTCATCCAAAAGTGGAATGGGCTGTCTAGAGGTGAGGGGTGAGGCAATCGGTTTCCCCTCATTTGATATCTTTAGGCAAAAGCAGGATGACCATTGGTAGGGTATGCTGTAAGGGGAATTTCTGTTAGGATACAGGTTGAACCTTCTAGATTACTTCCAGTTCTCTCTTTTTTATTTTTCTTCCTTTTTAAAAAATAAACTTAAACATTTCAACATAAAGCAAAGAACAGGAGGCAGAGATGAGGAGGGATGGGGGACAATCAGAGAAAATGCTCAGATCCAAGAGATGGAGGGTACTGTTCATAGAACAGTCAGGAGGTCATGTCACTGAGCAAAGAGTATGTGGTAGGAAGGGAGGTGTAAGGAGACAGAAAAGATAGGGGACTGGGGAAAGGTTATGAAGGGCTTTGAACATTAGAAAAAGGGTGGTCTAACTACTAAACATAGCATAGGAAGGAGAGGCGTATGGAATGAACCACAATTTATTATGATGATAACTTACACTGCTATGGGTTTACAAAGCACTTTCTTCACAACAACCCTGGGGTGTAGGTAATACAAATGTTAATGTTATCATTTTGAGAGGAGGAAACTGAGGCTCTGAGAAGATGAAGTAATTTGCCACAAGTAACAAAATTAAGCATCAGAGCCAGATCTTGAACACAGATCTTTTGACTTCACTTCCTTGAAGTAAGACACTTACAATTACTACAAAGTACCTCTCAAGCAAAGATTCTTAACCTTTTTTTTTTTTATGTCATGGAGCCCTTTGGCTGTGTGGTGAAACCTGTAAATCCCCCTTCTCAGAATAATGGAGTTTTTTGTAAATTTTTTTAAAATTTTAAACAAATACAAAATGAATTTTTAAATGTCATGTACACAGCAGAACATAAGAGAGGATTCAATATAAAACAATAAATTTCCATTCGATGTTTAGTATATAGTAAATACCACACATTATCTTCAAAACTGCACAGCTTTTCTTTGCTTCCTTGTTGGTTTTCTTTTGTTTTCTGTTGTGCACAGAATCATGTTTTTAAATGCATAAATTAGAATACATAGGATTGCAAAGGGATCGATTATATTGAAATACAATTATCAAAATGTGTTTTTTAAAATGACGAAACAAGTCCATGGCTCCCAGGTTAAGAATCACTGCTCTACAGGCTTGCAAAAAGCAAAGCTCTTTGGGTAATGCTTAGGCAATATTTATCTGGCTTCTAAATTTCTCTTGTCATTTGAGTCTCACCTGTAAGTGCCCTTCACTGTTGCTTACGCTGTAAAAACTGCTCCACCCATTGTCAGGAATACTGGCTTCAGTTCCGTCTCTCTGTGGTAACTGGCCTTGAGCAAGGTTTTCCCTTTTTAACAAATTACTCTGGAATTTCTTAACAGATGAAGTCAGCATATTAGAAAATTTTGGCTCTATTATTCGACTGATTGTGGAGACATCAGAATTTCAGGTGGAGATAGAGCTGATTCCAGTAATAGAGGTCCTCAACCGTTGGTGCGACAAAGCTCAGTGGCCTCGATGTTTCTCACGCTGGCCTTCTCGGGAGAAAATACACTGTGTTAAGGTAACCAGGGACGTATGGTGCAGATTGAAGCATGTTTCTTTTTCACTTTATTTTTCTTGCTTTCTCCCCCCCACAGCATAGATAATGTTGGGAAATATTTTGCATGACTTCATATGAATAATGGGTATCATAGCTCTTGTCTTCTCAATGGGTGAAGAAGGTAATGGAGGGAGGAAGAGAATTTGGAACTGAAAGTAAAAAAATAAAATAACTACCAAAATTAAAGAGTACCAAGGGCTAGGGTGGGAAGGGCCTCTATAGAGTTCACTAGAGAATGGGTTACTATTAAAAAGTCAACTGATTACCTGAAGGACTGAGTTCTGATTCACTTGTGAAGAAGGAATACCATAGGACTGAATGCATATGATTCAGAGGAAAATGATGAATATCCTGTGAACCTCAGCTCCCTCCTATTATCATCCCTTCCAGGAAGGGACAATTCTGAGGGTTGCTTTAATATAGGAGAGTCAGAGTGACATAATGATTAGAAAACTGGCCTTGGAGCCAGGATACAGGTACAGGTATGTCCTCTGACACAGATTTGCTGTGTGATGTTAGGCAAATCACTTAGCCTCTCAGTGCCCCAGGCAACTGTCTGAGATTATAAATTATAAAGAAGTTGCTCCTACATGCATTGCTAAAGGGAGTTTCTTTATCTGAGAGTTTCCTATACCAATGAAATCACAATCTCTATTCCTAGCCCTTCAGTATATATAGTAACATGCCCTGACATTCACATTCCTTACACTTTGATGTCTTAGACAAGCTGGGAAATTCCCTCTTAGTTCTCCTTTCCCATCCTGAGACTTCCTTACCATCCTAGAGATGGGTTTCTCATTCAGCTGATTTGTGTTTTTCCTTTCTCTCACCCTGCAGTCATTCGGGTTTAACCTGATGGCTCGTTCTAGTTACCACTGGAAACTGGGCTTCGACCGAGCTGAGTATATGCTCATGGAGGGGATAGATGATGATGGTGGTTGCCGAAAGATATGTTATCAGGTCCTGAGACAGATGAAAGAGGATGTTTGGTGTCCCGGAAACAAACCTGTCATCACAACCCAGCATCTTCAGGTATATGTGCCAGACAAGGGTTTTGGAGAAATCAGAGAGAGTGGGAGGGGGCACTCTTTTATCTATCAGACTAGGTGGCTTGTTTAACTAAGATTCAATGATCACTCTCCTCAGGAATTTTCTAATTTGTTCCCTGTGAAGACCCATCACCATTCAAGAATTAACAGCTTGGTATAGTAGATAAAATGCTAAACTTGGAATAAGGAATCATAGGTTCAAAGCCTAGCTCAGGTACTTCCTAGCTGTGTAAACTTCTAAGCCTCAATTTTTTCATCTGCAAAATGAAGGTGGTAGGACTGGTAGGCCTTTCAGAGCCCTTTCAGAACAGCTCTAAATCTATGATACCGTAAAAATTACAGATTCCCACTCCCCTGTACCCCATCCTCCCCAAAGCTCACTTTATGGTGCTGGACTTAGTGTGGACACTACTGGGCTTTAAAATTGAAAGTTTATGAAGGCAGAGCCAAGAAGGCAGAGTAAAAGCAGAGACTTGCTTGAGCTCTTCCCCAAGCCCCTCCAAATACCTGTAAAAATGGCTCTAAAAATTACACAGAAGACCTATGGTAGGGTAATGAATTCAAAAAGCGGGGCATCATGGCCTCCACGGGACAACCATAGTAGGGATTTGGGGCCTAGAAAAGGAAAGAACTAAGGAAGACGTGCTAGCTCTCTTCAGCTATTTACGACAGAGCGCCAGGAAGACCCAGGTTCAAATCCCATCTGGGGCACACATTGGCTGAATGAGCTAGAGCAAGTTACTTTGCCCTTTCATTTCCCCCCCCCCCCGAAGGCAACTCTCTGAGATACAAATTCAATTAATTCACCCCTTCCCCAACCCCTCCCCCAAGATGGTAGAACAGTGGGTGGAAGCTCAGAAACTTTTAGGGCATATATTATGTCTACAACCATAGCACCCTTTCAGTAGACTTCCTCTCCTCTGTCATGTTTTCCTTGTTTCCTTGAGCAAGAATCACTTTTGTGCATTCCAGGCTCCCTTCTCTATATAATGATAGCTATCATAACAGGGTCCCCCATGAATACTCAACCTATTTTCCTAGCTCACAGACTTGGTCCTTCAAAAGATAACCTGAAATGGTTTTATGGGTTCAGGTTAGGTCTTTACTCTCTCACTCTCTGTTGCCTTTCTATTAATCTAGCTTTTTCAATCTTAAGTCTCTCAGAATTTGAATTTTTAAAAAATCCACCCTGTCAATTAAGATAATCTTAAACAGTCCGATTCCCACATTCCTTTTTTTTTTTCTGGCGAAGGCAGTTGGAGTTAAGTGACTTGCCCAGGATCACACAGCTAGTAAGTGTCAAGTGTCTGGTCTGAGACCGGATTTGAACTTAGGTCCTTCTGACTCCAGGGCTGCCACTTTCCTTTTCAGTTTCATTTCATATTGCTCTCTATTCTCTGTTCCAGTCAGAACGACCTGAGATTTGTTGCCTACACATAACATTCCATCTCCCATTGCAAGGAGTGTTTCCCCATATCTAGAATCCTTACTTCAAACTTCCTTCAAAACCCACCTCCTACCTACCTCCTACCCTACACCAGGTCACTGAGGATCTTTCCTAGTAATTAGCATTGTCTCTCTCTTGAAATCACATTCCCTTACTGCAGTGTATTTACTTTGTGTTCATTTGTGAACATGATGCATCTCCAGTGCAATGGAATGTCCTCGAGGGCAGGAACAGTTTCATTTCATCTTTGTAACTCCAGCGCCTTGCTCATAGTAGGTGCTTTAAAATACTTGCCGAATGAATTCATGACTATGACAGCTATGGCCTCTGTACCTTGTGTCTTCAGAACTTGCAAATACGCATCTTCAGTTCGACAGTTACTAAGTGTGTTTGATCCCTTCTCCTTTCTGCAGACTATACTGTTTTGGACTTGTGAAAAGTACCCACGTTCCAAAGACTGGTGTGTCTTCCGAAAAGCCTTCTTGCGTCTGGTCCGTAAACTATACAAGTGTGTGAACCAGCACTTCCTGAAACATTTTTTCATCAAAGAGACCAACATGTTTCAGTATTCCAGCAAAACTGAGCTGGATGCCGTGGCCCAAAAGCTTGTCCTTTTCCTAAAGAACCCAATGCTCCACCAAGACTGAGAGCTGGAAATGGTCTCCAAGGCTTCCAGGGGCATCCCCCTGGGTCTTGCCTGACTTCTCCTTTGATGACCACCATGCTAGTGGAATTTGGGACTCTGACCACCTGCCATGGTTCTGACAAGACAAAGGAGACATGAACCAAGAGCATTTCAAACTATGTCCTACAATGCCCCACCCATACCCTATGTGGTTGGGGTTAATTATTTCCCTTCCGAACTACCTCACTTGGGAGCTGAGCCTGTCTGAGCCACAGATTGTGAACTGTTGATAGTTTCATGTTTATTTGCCTCTGATCAGACTCCTTACTGTCTTATTAGAGAGGAGAGAGGAGACTGGAGCTCCTAGTACTGGAAATGGTCACAATGATCTGATGTACTCCCACATAACTGACCAGAGATATACTGATTTTTTTTTCCATTTGTAAAATGGGAGTATCAATGCCTGCTTGACCAAGATATTGTGAGGCTACTGTGATGCCCTTTCAGGAGAAAGGCACTTGATCAACACAAAGTGTTATTAGGAGTGACATCTGCATCTAGGATGGAGAGCTAACTTATATCACTGATTAAAAGAATAGGTTTAAGAGCTAACTGTGTTAGTATTTCACTGGCTGTTCTCATTACTCTCCTAATTACTCTGTTTCACATGGGTCCCTTTTGCCTGGTTGGTTTGGCTAGCTGATGGCCTGAGGGTAAGTCAATAGAACATCAGTGGGATGGCTGGGTCTGAGCACTGGTTACTATTACTCAAGGCCATTGCCTCTGATGTGATACATGGATGACATAACTTCTTATTCATGAACTGTGCACACAGACACCATCGACTGCTATCGAGACCATCACTGTTCAGAGCTGACTTGAAGGGCTTGGTATAAGGCAAAGATCACTGACTTGATTTGAAAGGTTGGGGTTCAAATCACACGTGGGACCTTGGGAAAGTCACTTATCACATGTGTAACTTTGGGAAACTCATTTAACCTCCATCAACTTCAGGGTCTACATCCATAAACTGGGGAGTTTAGAGCAGATGCTTCTCAATGTCTTCCCGGTCTAGACCTATGATTCTACAATCCTATGTACTTACCATTCAGTTGTAAATGTTTGTTGGTTGATTGAAAACTTGGCTGAGGGCCAAAAACCAGCTCTGATTTTAAATTTCATTAGAATCAGCAGGAAACCAAGCGTCCTAAGACTACAATGATTTAGAAGAAATTCCCAAATTTTCAACCAAAAGCAATGACATCCAACCCCTTCCCCGATCAGGAATCCCATCTCCAATATCCTCAATGAGTCATTCAGCCTCCTCTAGATTCAAAGGAATTTACTACTTCTAAGGCAACCCATTCCAATTTTGAGCATCACTAACTATAAGGAAGCTTTTCCCCTACATTAAGTTGAAATCTATCTCCTTGAAATATTCACCCAATGCTTCCAGTTCTGCCCACTGGGAGCAAGTAAAATAATGAGATAATTATTGGGAATTGAGTGAACCACACTGACTCTATCTTGAGACTCAATTTTGGTTCCAGCTCAGTTCCCTTCCTATTTAATTATGGGTCTAGTCCAATTTCTGTCTTATGAGAAAACTTTATTCAATTATGGGAATTGTGAGAAAACTTCACTACATTGTTTGAACCTAGCCCTGAGTGACTGGGAAGCTGGACCACCTCTACCTGTTGCTGAGAGAACCTTAACCAAGAACCTGGATTGTGCTGACCAGAAACCCAGTCAGATCTAAAGATTGATGCAAGGAGTTTTCCTCCCCACAATTATACATCTCAAGCAACCCATATGTCTTATCTGGAAACTGTCTCCGTACTGGTCAATCAGTTATTGTTTCTATGTTCCTTTGATTGAATACAGACACTTGGGGAAGTGGGACATCTCTTTTTCTGATTTCAGGGAATTGTACCTATTCACTCTCCCCCTCCCAACTTGGAAAGTCCATAGTCTTTCTTCCAATTAGAAATCAGATCACCTAATCTTGTATCCTGATTTATATTCTGTTAATTGTTTTCTTTTAATGCATAAAAATCTGTCTCCCCCTTTATTCAAGGTCCAGTGCTAAGCTGTGTAATTGTCATACATTGCTTAATAAATCATTAATGCTCAGAAGCTCAAATAATCGTTCCTTAGTTATTTCATCTTTAGCCCATCACAATAAGCCTAATCCTTTTCCCACATGGAAATCCTAATATATTTAAAATATGTGAAAATTTATAAATCTTAAACGTTTGAAAAATATCATCATGCCCTGCTCCCCTCCCCCACCCAGGCTTCTCTATTCTGGACTAAACCTGTGTTCACCTCATCACCACAACCAATGAAATATTCGATGAGTGCCTATTTTGTACATGATACGATGGTAAGCATTCAAGGGGATACAAAGAAATATAAAATGGACTTTGATGGAAAGGAATTTATAATCCAGGTCTGAAAATAAAATATATACACATGAAAATGTAGCTGAAAATTTAAGGCAATATATGGTAAACAGGGATCAGAGAAAGATGACATCAGTCACAGTGTAGAAGTCAGAGAAGCCTTCTTAGAAGAGGAGGAATTTGGCTGAGTTTGGAAAGATAACTAGGATTGTGGGGCAGCTAAGTGGTGCAGTGGATAGGGCACCGGCCCTGAAGTCAGGAGTACCTGAGTTCAAATCCGGACTCAGACCAAACACTTGACGCTTACTGGCTGTGTGACCTGGGGCAAGTCGCTTAACCCCAATTGCCTAAAAAAAAAAAAAAGAAAGAAAGAAAGATAACTAGGATTGTGTCATGGAGGAAAGGGAGGGCATTCTGAGAAAGGGGAAAGCATGAGCAAAGACTTAGAGATAGTAAAATGAAAGATGTATTCAGGATATAGTGTATTGTATAATTTGTCTAGAGTAGAGGGTTCATCTAAGAGAGTAATAGATGATAAAATTGAAGGTATAAGTTGGGGCCAAACTATGAACAAGTCAATGAACTTGGGCTTTGTCCTGTAGGCATTTGGGGCCCTTGGAGGTACTGGGGAGCAGTGACTAGGCTAGAGAATTCATGTAGGGGGGTAGTAAGTGCTAGTTAGCCCAGGGCCATAATGGTGTTTCTATTATGGAACTGTCCATTTGTATTAGCACTTAAAAGTTTATACATGTTCAGCCTTAAAAACCTGACAGGAGGGAACAAAGTATCTACAAATTAAATCAGCACTCACTGTTTTGGACAGCAGCCTCTGTCGGGGCATTTGAATAGGGTAAAGCACCTATTTCTGCTATCCTACCTATGCAGTAGGGGGGGCATTCATTGCCCTATGACTTGGCCAGAGTACCAAGCTCTGGTTGTCTTTAGAGCGGTTCAGAGCCAAGGTCCATTGCTGGGATGGGTACAGGCTCCAGAATTAATCATACAATGATCACTTTCATTGAAAAACTTTTTTTTTCTTTTTGAAAGTGAAATATGGTCAAAAAATAATATGAAGAGTTAGATTAAAGAGGAACAGATCCTGGAATAAATGGGTCACCTTATCACGAGGGAGGGAGAAGTAGGTGGAGGGGAAAAGAGGCTTTTTTTTTGGTGATGGTGGTCCATAAGACATTATACAATGACTTCAGCATAGGATCATAGGATCAGCAAGGGATCTTAAAGGTCATCTCATTATATAACTTATACATTATAATTATATTATATATTACATAAATTATATACTATTTAAATCATTATATAATTTATATAAATAAGAAAACTAAAACCCAGAAGAACGAAATGATTTGTTTGGATCATAGAAGCAAGTAATGAGATAAGTAGGATTTGAACCCAAGTTTCCTTCAGTGCCCTTTCCACAAGGTCCCTTCACTTTGTACCACTAAGGGGGTCTCCCTGGACAGCTGTGTTTACACCTATGTTTACATCACAAAGATGTGAGTCAGAGAAAAACCTAAATAAGCATAGAATAAGCAACCAGTATAGTCACACCAAGATTCCACAGCTGGCGGTGGCTTGTAGATTGGCAGGAATTGTGAACCAATAGAAAAGCATACTTGGGCACCTGAGCAGAAAAAATGGAAAGTAGATTTGACTATTTATCTTGGCATAGTGGATAGAGAGCAGGTCTTGAAACCATGAAGACCTGGGTTCAAATCCTGTCTTTAACACATGTTGGATATCTGCCCTTAGATAAATCTCAATGTACTAGGCAAATTTCTAAGGCTCTAAGAGATGGGCAGCCAAGTAGCACAGTGGATAGAGCACTGGACCTGGAGTCATAAAGGCCAGAAAGATCAGAGTCCAAGTCTGACCTCAGATACTGACTAGCTGTGTGACCTTAGGCACAACTGAAAGATGAAATAGCAAACCACTCCAGTATCTTTACCAAGAAAACCCCATGGACAGTTTGGTCCAAAAGGTCATGAAGAATAGGATGTGACTGAACAACAACAAAAGTTGCAGAGCAGGTACCGTACTACACTGGTGAAGAAAGTTCCTGGGGGCAACTATGTGACACAATAGCAAGTCAGAAGAACCTGAGTTCAAATCTGACCTCAGACACTACCTGTGTGACCGTGGGCAAGTCACTTAACCCCAATTGCCTCTAAAGAAGAGAGAGAAGGGGAGATGGAGGGAAAGAGAAGGGAGATGGGAAGGAAGGAAGGAACAAGGGAAAGAGAAAGAAAGAAAGAAAGAAAGAAAGAAAGAAAGAAAGAAAGAAAGAAAGAAAGAAAGAAAGAAGAAAGGAAGAAAGAAAGAGAGAGAGAAAGAAAAAGAAAGAGAGAGAAAGAAAAAGAAAGAAAGAAAGAAAAAGAAAGAGAGAGAGAGAGAGAGAGAGAGAGAGAGAGAGAGAGAGAGAGAGAGAGAGAGAGAGAGAGAGAAACTTCCTCACTGGGAGTTCCTATATCAATGAAATCACAGGTCCAATTTTCATCTTCACAGGATAGAAATTGAGGAGAAAGTTCACCCCAGTCAACTGTCACTGTACTTGAGACGGACTTGAGATGTAGAGGGAAAAACCCTGGGTTTGGGGTCAAAGGACCTTAGCCGAAATCCTTTCTCACCTGTGCAAACCTTGCTCAAGTCAGTTCCCTTTTGTGGATGTGTTTCTTCATCTGAAAAATGGAGGAATTGGACTGGATCTCAAAGGTCTCTCTCAGCTCTAAATTCTATGAATCCAAGGGTTAAGCATATAAAAGAGGTCCAGACAAAGTGGCGTGAGCCACTCGGGAATGAAGAGGTGACCACAAAGGTGTCCTAAGGAAGAGTGGTTGAGGAACTCAGGTTCTTCTCCTGGTGCTGATAGACTTGTATAACCTTAAGTAAGTCATTTCCCTTCTCTCCCCTCTTTTTTAAAAGCAATCAGGGTTAAGTGACTTGCCTAGGGTCTCACAGGTAGTAATTATCTGGGGTCAAATTTAAATTCAGGTCCTCCTAATTCCAGGTCCGATGCTCTATCCACTGCACTACTTTGCTACCCCTGTTTCCCCTTTCCAGGCAACAGGAAGAAATATTGAAGAAACACTTAGCAAGGCTAAATGAACAAAAGACACCAGGTCTGAACAAATTGAATAGTCATGGACGGACAAGAGTTGGTGTGAGAAAAGGTATTTGCAGAAGA